TGAGGAGAGCCCCTCATGAAGAGTCAGAAGCAGAGTGGAGTGCGGAGGGCGTTCAGAGAGGGTATGGCCTGGACTGCTGTGCTCGAAAGCAGGGAGAGGCGGGCAGCCAGGGTAGGGGGGGACTGCTGGGCTGAATTGGGGAGTCAGAGTTCCAGCAGGATAAGGAAGGCTTCTGTGCAGTAGAGGGAGCAATAGTAGTGATGGAGGATTCGTTACATACAGGATGATTTTTATTTAATAATATTAAAGATAATATTATTATTGATATTATAATATTAAAGATAATATAAACCAAGTTTCTCAGTGTCAGCCAGGAGTTACAGTTATAAACTTTTTTTTTCAAGCACTCATGAACATTCGCCAAGATCAACCATATCTTAGGCCATAAAATAAAACTCCAAAAAAATGTACAAGTTGTTCTCTGGCCATAATAGAACCATACTAGAAATCAATAATAGAAAGAAAGAGGAATACCTCCAAACACTGGGAAATTATACAAAGTTCTAAATAAATAATACATGCATCACATAGGATATCTCAAAGGCAGTTTTAAAAAATACACAGAACTGAATGAAAATGAAAATACAACAAATCAAATATGTGGGAAGCATTAAAAGCAATAATGAGAAAAAAGTTTACATTAAAAGAAGAATGGTCTCTAAGTTCCTACTTTAAGAAACGAGAAAAAGAACCAATTAAATCTAAAGCAACCTAAGGAAGGAAATAACAGAGATAAGAGCAAAAATCATTAAAATTGAAAACAGAAAAAACAGAGAAAAATCAATAAAACAAAAAGCTGCTTCTTTGGAAAAAATCAATAAAACTGATAAACCTAACAAGACTGACAAAAATAAAGAGAGAAGGTACAAATCAATAATATCATAATGAAGCACTATAGATCCTGCAGTTATTAACAAGATAATAAGAGAAGACCATGAGCAACTTTATGTTCATAAATTTGACAACTTAGAAAAATGTAACAATTCTCAAAAACCACAAACTCCCAAAACTCAATCAAGACAAAACAGACAATTTGAATAATTTTGTAACCATTTAAAAAATTGAATTTGAAATTAAAAAGCTCTTTAAAAAGAAATCTCCCAGATGATTTCACTGGAGAATTCTATTAAAAATTTAGAGAAGAATTAACCAATTTTATACAATTTCTTCTAGAAAACAGAAAAGAGGACACTTCCTAACTCATTTTATAAGGCTAGTATTACCATGATACTAAAACAAGACTAAGCAAAAAAGAAAAAAACTACAGTCCAATACCTCTCATGAACTTTGATGTAAAAATTCCAAACAAAATAATAAGAAAATCAAAAGTAGGCCTGTATAAAAACAATGATAAGAACTGAGATTTATTATAGGTAGGAAAGGCAGATTCAACATTCAAAAAACAATTAATATAACTCACCATATCAAAATCTAAAGAAGAAAATTCATATAATCAGGTTAATTTAACCCACAAAAAGTATTTGACAAAATCTACCATACAATCATAATAAAAACTCTCATAAAACTTGGAATATAAGACAACTTCCTCAACTTTATAAAGAGCATCTATAAAAAAATCTGTAGCCAGTATCATACTTAATGATGACAGACTGAATGCTCTCCATATAAAGTCAAGAACACAGTAAGGTTATCCTCTCTCACCACTCCTATTCACACAGCACTGTATGTCCTAGCTAGCACCATAAGGCAAGAAAAAAATAAAATAAAAAAGCAAATGCACTGGTAAGAAAGTAATAAAATGTCCCTATTTGCAAATGACATGATTGTCATAGTCCCAAAGAATCAATAGTAAAACTCCTAGAACTAATAAGTGAGTTCAGCAAGGTGGCAGGAATCAAGATAAACACAGAATTCAATCACATTTCAACAATAAATAAACCTGAAACAATAAATGTGAAACAAAAATTTTAAATACAATACCATTTATAATTGCTCCCAAAAAAATAAATACTTAGATATAAATGTGAGAAAAAAATGTACGGAATCTTTATCCTAAAAATTACAAAGCACTGATGAAAGAAATCAAACAGCTAAATCAATGGAGAGACGTACCATACACATGGATTGGAAGACTCAATACAATAAAGATGTCAAATCTTCCCAAAACTGATCTATATTTTTAATGTAATACCTATTAAAATACCAGTAGGTTTTTTTGCAGACATTGACAATCTTATTCTAAAATTCTTATGGAAAGGCTCATAACTAGAAGAGTTAAAATTATTTAAAGAATAAAGTGGAACAAATCGCTCTACCCAATAGAAAGCTTACTATATAGCTGTAGTAATCAAGACAGCTGGCAGATGGGTAGACACGAAGAACAATAGATTGGAAACACTCACAAATTTGCCCAATTGATTACTACGTGCAAAAAATATTTCAACAAAGGGTGCTGCACCAATTGGACATCAGTAAGCCAAAAAAAAAAAAAAAAAAAAAAAAGATCCTCAACCAAACCTCACATCTTATACAAAAATTAACTCAAGATGGATTGTGGACTTAAATGTAAAACTACAACTATAAAACTTTTAGGAAAAAAAAAAGAAAGTCTTTAGGTACTAGGCTATGCAAAGAGTTCTTAAACCTGATGATAAAAACACAATGCATAAAATTAAAAAATGATAAACTGGACCTAGTTAAAATTTAAAACTTTTTGCTTTATGAAAGACCCTATAAAGGGGGTGAAAAGGTGAAAAGGCAAGCTACAAATTAGGAAAAAGGATTTGCAAACTACATATCCAACAAAGTATTTATAGTAAATCATAAAGAACTCTCAAAACTCAGCAATTAATAAAATCAAACATTTCAATAGAAATGGGTGAAAATGGATGAACAGACATTTCAGTGAGGAAGATACACATGGCAAATAAGCATATGAAACAACGTCCAACATCACTGGCCATTAGAGAAATGCAAATTAAAATCACAATGAGATAACACTAAATACCAATCAGAATGGATAAAATAAAAAATAATTATAACAAACACTGGGAAAAATGCAAAGGATCTAGATCACTCTTGCATTGCTGATATGATATAAAGTGGCAAACCACTTTCAAAAAATAGGTCAGCAGTTTCTTAACAAAACTAAACACGCATTTATGATGCAATATCCCAAGGAAATGAAAATGTTAGGCTCACATAAAAACCTTTATATGTTCATAGCAGTTTCATTTATAAGTCAAAAACTGGAAACAATCCAAATAGTCTTCAACAGGTGAATGGTTAAATAAACTGTGGTACATCCATACCATGGAATCCTATTCAGCAATAAAAGGAACAAACTGTTGATACATGCAACAACTTCAAAGGATCTAAAAAGAATTATGCTGGGGGGGGAAGGAGTCAATCTCAAAAGGTTGCATACTATATGATTCCATGACAAAATTATGGAGATGAAGGGCAGATTAATGATTGCTAGAGATTAGGGAAAGGGGTAGGAAGGAAAGTAGTTATATCTGTAAAAGGACAGGATGAGTGATCCTTGTAACAGAACTGTTCTGTATCTTGACTGTGTGATGGTGCACAAACTTACACATGAGAAAATTGCACAGAACTAATTATATACACAAATGAGTACGTGTGAAATCTATACAAGGTTGATGAATTCCATCAAATGTCAATTTCCTGACTGTGATATTGCACTAGAGTTAATCAAAATACTACCAGTGGTGAAAACTGGGTAAAGGGACATGGCCTCTCTCATGTATTATTTCTTACCACTGCAGGTAAATCTACAGTTACCTCAAAATAAAAAGTTTGGTGTGGTTTTTTTTTAAATGTACCACCTTGCTATTCTTATTTTTGTTTCTGTGAATCCTGGATTAGAATAAAATGAATGCCCATGAGTCTGATACTGATAAAAAATAAATACTGAAATACATAAGTAAATACACAAAAATAAATAGGGCAGAAGGGACAGCTCATCCTTAAACAATAATTCCTATTAATAAATGCAAAATAAACAGGGGAAACATAAAGTAACAATTAGAATATCACAATAATATAGTTGAAGGCAAGTTCCTTTGATAAACCCAATGCTTATAAAAAGTGAGTAAAAGTTTCAGAAAAAACAGTATATTTGAATAGTCCCCACAGACCTGCTTAAGATATTAATAAATGACACACAAAAATGTAATCTTTCAGGGGATAACTCTACATTAAGCAAGTTACCATAGTTAAAACCACCAGTAACGACATATCAACATCACACACCCCTGATATAACATATCATAATGCAATATAATCATCACACAACCCCTGAAAAACCCAAATTGAAATAAATACTGCAAAAGAGCTGATCAGTAGTCTTCAAAAGTGACAAAGTTATGTAAGGCAAGGAAAGACTAAGGAACTGCAACACATGGGAGAAGACCAAGGAAACATGAAAACTGAATACAAAACATGATACTGAACAGAAAAAATATTATTAGTGAAAAAAATGGTGAAATCTGAATATTCTGTGGTAAATTATTACTGTTGGACCCATGTTACTTTTTGATAATTGCACTATAGTTATTCAGGGTGACAAATTTAGAAGAAGTTACATGAAAGGTATGAGAGCCCTCCAAGCCATTTTTAAGAGCTTTATTGAGATATATTTACATATAATACATATACTAAGGTTCAACCACTAGAGGGTAAATTTCAATGGCTTTTAGTATATTTAGAGTTCTGCAAACATCACCATAATATAATTTTAGAACATTTTCATCCTCCCAAAAAGAAACATTACAGTCATTACAAGTCACTACCCATTCCTCATTCCCTCAATATTTTTGCAATTTTTCTAAAGCCTAAAATTATTTCAAAATACAAAAAAGTAATAATTATATTACATTGAATTAAAACTTATATAAATTTTGACACTCTATATAATGACATACAATCAAGAGAAGAAAATAAAATTCATGTGTTCTAAAGTTCTTTAATTTTTCTCTCTTATATAATAATGCATCTCATATAAGGTTTTGTCTCACCTGGCCAGTTCTTTAATTAAATTTGCAATGCGTCTTTTGTCTTCAAGACATAAATCCTTCAACGATGCACTCTTTATTTCTTCCTTGCAGAAATTCTAAAACAGAAAAAAACCTTTCGGTTAACTTCTGCTAAAAACAATTTTTAAGAGTCTTCAAGAAATTTCTTAAAATAACCACAGGAGGTGGAATTTCTTAGATATCTTTTATCTTGTGGAAACACTACTAGCCTGTTTCATTTAAAACTTACTAAGAACTCAAAACAGGCTAAGGAACAGACATCTGCCCACCAGGGGTCATCATAAAATTTACACAGAAAAGCAGACAGAAAGAACTCAAAGGCAGAAATGTCCCTGCTTAAATACTAGAGAATGTTTAAAAAAAACAATTTTCCCTTGGAGAATGTCACAGAAACCAAAACCTAATGGAAGATACTGAGAACTTTCTTACCCCACAGCCCTGCTTAAAACTAAGGTTGGCAGTAGATGCACCTGTTCTAACCTCTCAATAACCTGAGGTTCGTTCCAAAGGGGACTAGACAAAGAGTAATAATAATAATAGCTAACATATACCTAGTGCCTACTGCATGCCAGAAATATTCTAAGTACTTTACACTTATTAATTAATCCATCTCATTTTCCCAACAATGCTATTAGTAGGCATTATTCTTTTTTTAAAGTGAGGATATATATCGTCTGGGATTATAGCAGTTAAGTAGCAGGATCAAGACTAGGTTCCAGAGTCTGTGCTTTAACCACTGTACTATTCCGTCTCCTGTGCTACAAAAAATTATCCCAGTACTTGAACATCATTAACAGGGGTCTTTAAAGCCATGAAACTCAGGGAGTCACAGGGGAACTGGAGGTAACACGTAAAAGGAAGGAACTATAATCCTTGGAATTTATGCAACCACCAAACAGATCAGTCTAATTACTTCTGATAGTCAAGAATAATCCAATACTCTTAAAATGAATCATGGAAATAGTGAAAGCCAAAGATGGGAAAGAATGGGGAGAAAAGGAAATGAGGAAGGAATAGTAAGAAAAGAAAATAAGTTTGGTTTTAGATACATCAGGTCAATTTAAGATGCCAGGAGGACATTCATATGGGAATGTTTAGGTAGGAAGGTGAAAATGTAGGTATGGCTCTCAAGTCAGAGAAAAACACGGATTTAAAATTTAGCTATGTGATATTACGAAGGATGTTTAGATTTTCTTTATACTTTTCTGTTTTAAATTTTTCCTTAAAGTTAAGAAAATTATTAGTTTTTAAAACTCATCTACAAGTCCAATAAAAAATGTATATCTGAAAGGCCAAGAGAGGAATCAGAAGCATCTATTATTGTGGGAGAAAGAAAAGAAAAAGTTTCAAGAAAAGTGTGGGTTAACAATGCAAATGAATGAAAAAGCTAACAGAATGTGGAACAATGTGATGTCACTGGATTTGACAACGGGAGAAGCTGTCGCTAACCCATGAAAAGACATTTCAGTAAAGGTGCAGTGAATAAAGGAACAAACAAAAGAAACTCATGCACATACATAAGAATTTTAGAAGCACTGCATTTAACAGCAAAAACCTGAAAATCAGGTTTTATCAACTGGAGTGTGATTAAATGGTAGTATATTTACACAATGGAATTCCATAGGTACTGATTGTTATGCAACTGACTTGCATCTTCAAACCCTCCCTTCCATGCTGTTTTGTGATGCTGGGGCTGAGCCTCTGGAAACTCGTTTCTTCTTTGCCACATGACTCTCTGTAAAACTCTGCCAATAGGAAGAACTAGGGGGAGACCAGGGTTGTCAGAGAAAGAAAGGACACACTCCTTCCTATTTACTTCCTTTTCAAGTCAGTGTCACCCCTGGTAAGAACAGGTGATTCTATTTTGCAATTTTTTGTGCCCTCACAGAACTAGTCTTATCATCTCCTTAGGGACAGCAGTTAGGCTGCTTCCCCATCACCAGAGGTCCAAGTTCCAGTTCTGAGGGGCTCCTCCTCAAAGTCTTTATGTTTTAATAATTACAACTTGTCCCATCTGTTCTCCCAGTCCTAGAAATGGTAATTGCTTTTTGTAGTTACGAAGGGTTCTCTTTTTGCCTTTTCAGTTCTCCCCCACCAATGTAACAAGTCTTTATGTTAAGTATTTTCAGTTAAAATAAATGACTAAACCCTAACTGAAACCCAGTGAAAAAATGAAATATAACTCTATACAACATACATAAATCTCATGAACATAATGTTGAATAAAAAAGCAAATCACACAATATACAAAGTATGAGCTTGTCTATACAGGGTTTCAAATAATTATAAAATTAAATATTCTTGCCCGGCCGGGCGTGGCTCAGCAGTTGAGCATCAACCTGGGATCCAGGTGATTGGGGTTCGATTCCTGGTCAGGGCACATGCCCGGGTTGTGAGCTCGATCATTGATGTTTCTATCTCTCTCTCCCTCTCCCTTCCTCTCTCTGAAATCAATAAAGATATATTTTTTTTTAAAAAAATTAAATATTCTTTAAAAAACAAATATATTTTATAGGACAGTGGTTGGTAAACAACAGCTACAAGTCAAATTTGGCCCACTGCCTGTTTTTTAAAATAAAGATTTATTTCATTTTATTTTTTTTAAACATATCTTCATTGATTTCAGAGAGAGGAAAGGAAAGGGGCAGAGAGAGATAGAAACATCAATGATGAGAGAGACATTGATCGAGCCCGCAACCGGGCATGTGCCCTGACGGGGAATCAAACCCCGATCTCCTGGATCCTAGGTCGATGCTCAACCGCTGAGCCACACCCAACTGGGCAAGATTTATTTTAAAAAACAACAACAAAAAAACACAGCCATGCATATTCATTTGCACATTGATACATATATATATATATAGCTCACACTACAGTGGCAACTTCAAGTGGCCTAATATTTGTGTAATTGGAGTCCTCAAAACAGAGGGAGGAATATAAAAATATCTGAAGTATCATAGCTGAAAAATTTCCCACAGGTCCAAAAATCTCAACAAACCCCAAACAAAGAAACAATTAGAAAACTAGTCCAAGGCATACTACAATCAAATTTCTTAAAACAAGTGACAAATGAAAATGTGAAAAATAGACAGAGTTTATATTCACACATATTAAATACAGAGGAATAAAAATGAGGATGACAGTAACAAAAACAATGCAAGCCAGACAATAATGAAGTGACACTGCTAAAGTACTAAAAGAAAAAAACTATCAACTCAGAATTCTATAACCAGTAACAGTATCTTTCAGAAACAAAAGTAGCCCTGGTGGGTATGGCTCAGTTGTTTGAGCATCCTCCTGTGCCCTGAGGGGTTGCTGGTTAGGTTCCTGGCCAGAGCACATGCCTGGGTTTTGGGCTCCACACCTGGTGGGGGGTGTGCAGGAGGCATCTTATCGATGTTCTACTCTCACATTGATGTTTCTTTCTCTCTCTCCCTTCTCCTTTCCTCTGTCTCTAAAAGAATTCTTAAAAAAAACCAGAAAAGTGAAGTAAAAACTTTTTCTTGCATACAAAAGCTGAAAATATTCATTCCGGGCCTCCCTGAAGTATAATAATGTTAAAGAAAGTACTTTAGGCAGATGGAAAATGTTATTAGTGATATCACATGAAAAACATCAGAAATGGCAACTAGATGGGTAAATCTAAAGACATTTGTTGCATTTGTTAAATCTCTTTTATGAACAATGGAAATAGAGTCCAAATTGGAAAGGGTACAGTACGACTATACCTATTTGCAGATGGCATGAATTTATACCCCAAAATTGTAAGGAATTAACAGAAAAAATATTAGAAGTAATAAGTACATTTAGAAAGGCTGAAGGATACAAGGTCAATAGACAAAAATCAACTGTATTTCTATACAACTGCAGTTAACAATCCAAAAATGAAATTAAGAAAACAATTCCAGCCTGGCTGGGCGTGGCTCAGCGGTTGAGCGTCGACCTAGGATCTAGGCGATCAGGGTTCGATTCCCGGTCAAGACACATGCCTGGGTTGCAGGCTAGGCAGCTGATCAATGACTCTCTCATCATTGATGTTTCTCTCTCTCTCTCTCTCCTTTCCTCTCTCTGGAATCAATAAAGATACACTTAAATAAAAAAAAAGAATAAAAAAAGAAAACAATTCAATTTATGATAGTATCAACAAGTATAAACTACTTGATACTTAGAAATAAATTTAACAAAAACAGTACAAGATATGTGCAATGAAAACTACAAAACATCTCTGAAATTAGAGAAGACCTAAATAAATGAAAAGACATCTAACACACCATATTCAAGGACTGAAAGGCTTGCTATTATTAAGTTGAGGGTACTCTCCAAATTGATCTAAAGATTCACTGCAATATCTATCAAAATCACAGCTGACCTTTGTACAAAAATTGACAAACTGATTCTATAACTCCTATGGAAATGCAAGAGACCCAGAATGATCAAAACAATCATGAAATAGAAAAACAAAGTTGGAGAACTTATGCTTCCTGATTCCAAAACTTACTGCAAAGCTACAAAAATTAAGACAGCATGGTGTTGGCATAAAAATTGAAATACAGACCAATAGAGTAGAATTGAGAGTCCATGAACAAATCCTTATATTTATTATGGTCAACAGATTTTCATAAGGGTCCCAAGACAAAGAAAAAGATGTATTTTCAACAAATGATGCTGGGACAACATTAAACAATGAAGTTAGGTTACTATCCACACCATATACAAAAATCAAGTCAAAATGGATCAAACACTAAATGTAATATCTAAAACATAAAACTCTTAAAAGAAAATATTGATGTAAAGACCTTGAATTAGGTAGTGGTTTTCTTTCTTAGACATAACAGCAAAGCACAGGCAAAAAAAGAAAAAAAAGATAAATTGGACTTCATTAAAATGAAAAAATTTAGTGCTTCAAAAGACACCAACAAGTGAAAAGACAATGCACAGAATGGAAGAAAATACTTGCTAGTTAGATCTAATAAGAGACTTGTAAATGGGCTCTATAAAGAACTCTTATAACTCAACAACAAGAAGACAAGCCAACAGAAAAGGATCTGAGTAGACATTCTGTAAAGAACATATACAAGAGGCCAAGAAGCACATAAAAAGATGTTTATCATTATTAGTCATTAGGAAAATAGAAATCAAAACCACAATGATATACCACTTCATATTTGCTAGGAAGGTTATAATAAAAAAGATGAATTTAAGTGTTAGCAAGTATGTGAACAAACTGGAATCCTCATACATTGCTGGTAGGAATATAAAATGGTGTAGCCATTTTGGCAATTCATCAAAAGGTTAAACATAGAAGTACTACATGACTCAGCAATCCTACTTCTAGGTATATATATATCTCCAAGAAAATTTGAAACATAAATCCACACAAAAAACTTGTACATCAATGTCTGCAGTAGGATTATTTATAATAGCTACAAAATATAACAACTCAAATGTTCTTCAACAGATGAATGGATAAACAAAATGTGTATTCAGCCATCAAAAAGGAATGAAATAATGATACATAATACAACCTAGATGAACCTTGAAATCATTATGCTAAGTGCAAGAAGCCAGTCACCAAAGGCCACATATTATATAATTCCACTTATATAAAATGTCCAGAAAGACAAACCTATATAGACTAAAAGTATATGAGTGGTTGCTAGGAGCTGAGATGACTGGGGAATGTGGAGTGACTCCTAATGAACATGGAGCTTCTTTCTGGGGTGATGAAACTGTTCTGGAATTAGATTGTGATGACAGATTCACAACTCTGTGAATATACAAAAACCCAATGAATTGTATACTTTAAAAAGGTAAATATTATATATGTGAATTATATCTCAATTTGAAAACGTAACAGTTGACTATTTAAAGCAAAATAATAATATATTTTGGGGTTCATGTATAGAAGTAAAATGTATGACAGTATCACAAAAGTCAGGACTTACACTGTTGAATGGTCCTTAAATTAAAGGTGAAGTGGGAAAATATCCCTTGAAAATAGGCTGTGATAAATTAAAGATGCATACCATAATCCCTAAAGCCAGTGACATAGCCCAACAAAGACTTATAGCTAATAAGCCAACAGAATCATTAAAAAAGTATCGATTTAATCCAAAAGTCTATAGTTGAATATAAAAAAGCAAACAACTTTAAAAAATCAATTTTTTATTAGAACTTGCATATTCAACTATTCACATCCCAGTATGAAGCTAGTACATTGGGAATACATGTAACACAAGTAGGCCTACAGTTAAATCCTGTAGACTACTCAACATAATAATTAGTTACAAACTAGATATCAGAAATGTCCTCAAGAACATAAGCCAGGAATTGAAAAGCTTTTTCTATAAAGGGTTCACCAGTAAATGTTTTTGTCTTTGTGGGCATACAGTCTCTGTAGCAACTCTGCCACTGAACACAAAGGAGCCATAAATATTAAAAGAATGAGTGTGGCTGTGTTCCAATAAACCTTTATTTACAAAATAGGTGGCAAGCAGATTTGGCCTACAGGCCACAGATTTCCAAATCATGACTTAAATTTTGCTTGGGAAGACAAAATATAACAAAAAGTAAAATAAGCCAATCAGATAGGACACATGTTAAAGGAATGTATAGATACTATTACTGAGGCAAAGATGAAGGAGAAATCAATAACTGGGCTATAAAAAGGAAGTCTTTATAATATTATTTTCCAAGTGAAGGAAATAACAACAATAATAATGTAGGCTAATTTTTAAAATAAAAACATCTTTCTTATATTTTAGGGTTTGTTCATCATCAACTAACAAATTCAAATGAATAAAAATCATAAAGGAAGCCTAACCAAAAAAAGTTGTCAATTTGATTTACTAACCACACAGATCAGAATGGTAGGTCTTTTGAGACATACTAAGATAATAAATTTTCTTAACTAAGACTTAAAGCAAGCCCAGATATTTTGGAGCTAATCACTTCATATTCACACCAAGCATCATCAAAGCACTCAAGAATCCTCTGTAGCTTCTCAGAAATGTGTATAGATTATCTAATGTTCTTTCAAAAACTCCTACCCATATACATCAGTTATTGGTTGTATAGACCTTGACAAAGAAGATGCCCTACTAAGAAGGTCTCATGGTGGCTTTATTGAGCTTAAATTTAAAAAACAAACAAACAAACAAAGTACCCAGAGCCTAGCAACATAAACCACACTTCAGGAAGAAGCCTGCACTAAGCTGCCTGCCTCCTGCATTGAACTGCCTTCCTGCAGTGTTTCTGCCATCTGAGCCAGCCCTTTAAGAGAAGTCCCTGGAATCCTGTTTAAACCAATAAGGCTGAGGCCTCCTAGTCCAACTAGAGCTCTATAGTTGTATCACCTTCAACATCTTCACCCACCAATCAGAGCAGCTCCATTCTAACCAATCAGGACCAATAAAATTGTGTGGATTTGGAGTCTTCATTTGCATGAGAGACCAATCAGGAACCAGGGGTAGGGACTTCTGTCTTCTTAAGTCAGCTCTCCTGTGGCTCTGGCAACACACTTTTCCTTTTCCACCAAGATTGAAGACTGCATTTCCCTGGCTGGAGTGAAACCCTGAAGATGTCTAACCAGAGCTGCAGGTGCAGAGGCAGACTGGCCCAGGGCAAAGTGGATCTAAGCAGGTGGAAAACACCAGAGCAGAGCTGCCTAGCCTAAGAGGCCCTCACCCCAGGGCTGCCTTGCCCAGGGCCTTTTCACAGCAGAGCTGTTTCACAGTGGTGCTGCTTCTAATTGAGCTGTAACACGACTGAGCTGTTCCACAGATGTGCCGTTTTCACAGCTGTGCTGTATCACAATTGAGCTGTTTTGCACTGAATTGTGTTTTCTTCTTCACTGCATCTTAAATCAGGAATTCCTGTTGACAATGAATTGGCACCAACCGCCATCAATTGACAGTGAGCAAAGAAAAATTAGTAACTGGTCAGCATTTATAAAAAAGTGAAGAATAAGAAAAAAAACAAATAAATTACTGACCTGTTCATTTACGGAATCTCCTGCACCTTTTAAAGACTCCATGGAGAATGAAGCACCAGTCACTCTGGAAGTCTTAAGTTTAACATTAGCTTTTGGACTCATCAATTTGTGTCTTGATCTGATATTTCCTTCTGTAGAAATTCCTAAGGATTTACATCAAATAAGATTTCAAAATTATATCTTCTCATTCTCTTAAGCTCCTCACTATCCCCCCACCCCCCATCAACCTCTCCATTGATATCCTCCATCTTACAGGACCTGACAGGGGAAACTCTTACTTCATTCTAAGGCTCTCTTAATAACAAATCATGAAAAGATTGTTTGAATGCATAAAGATTCAACAGAAATATTTTTAATGGTGCATGCACATTCATAAGTCATATTAAAACCAATAAATTACAACATGCCACACATACCCTAACTTAGGGGAAATTAAAGATCTGATTTGTCACATCATTGGGGTACTTTCAATAGTTCAGTTTTACTACTCATCTGTAACAACCAGTAAATTTAAAGAGTCTATTGCATAAACTCTGTATCAAGAACTTTTCACTCTTTTCTTTGAAATATTAAATTCAGGCTATTATTTGTAATACAAAAAATAAGAAAATCTCTTGCTCCTTAATACATGAAGTATAAGGCAGTAATTCAAACCTCAATGAGGTTGTACCAATTTTTTATTTTATTTTAGATTCTAATGAACTGTTCCACATCCAGTTATACCTGCAAAGCTGTCCTAATGTTTCATCTTTCTCCTGATACTTACGAACCAAATTAACATAAAAAATCATACCTGGAACATATACTACCGATTGTTCTTCATCAGAAACTATGCAGGAAGACATGAAGGAAAATACTAGAAAAGCTTATCCAATATCTAAATGCTGCTTCTATTCTATACTTTTGTTATAATTTGTAATTTCTATTGACCTTGGAATTTAAAAGCAAAACTCGAAAGTAATTCAGTTAAATGTAGCAAAGTGAATATTCTTTTAAAGTTCATTTTTATATAGTCACAACTATATATTTTGTAAAAATTTTGGAAGACCTTGTTCCACAAAATTTGTTTCCATGCTTATTCCCAAGTGAGATATCCTACACTATAAATTCTGCTGCTTCATTCATTTCATTTTCTTTTGGAAACCAAGAGTTCAGTGCTCCAGTTTGTCCATTACTAGTAGGCATGAATAAATAATTTCAAAATGAGTTTTATCTTTGAAAAACAAACACTGTTTGAGGGCAAGTCAAGCATACAAACACAAAGGCATTTTTTATTCTTCATAGTGCATATGTGAAATGTCCCAAGAGCCCTACAATTTAATAAGTTGAAAGAAATTTAAGACAAAAAGAACTATAATATTTTGAGTTTCAAAAGCAGAAATTTAGAAAGGCTACTAAGATTATAACACTTCTTTAAAAAGAGAACAAATAAAATAAAAAAGTGTTCTTTCCAAAAACAAAATTTTATTCCGAACCATATCTAAATCCAGATATGTCCGCAATTTGATTAACACTTACAGGAAGGAAGCATCTGAACATTTTTTTCCAATGACCTAGAAAGTTCTAAAGCCTGTTCTTTGATAAAATGTTTTCTTTTCCAGACAAATCAATTATGAACTATTTCCTTCCAGAAAAAGGATAGAGTAAAACAGTGGATTAAATAACGTGTTCAAAAAGTCCATACATTTCAGCTCATGATCAGCCTTAGTAATGGAGTATTTTCAGGAAATAATGATTAGATGTGCACAGAATTACTATAGTAATTTAGGAATATAAAGATGATGCATACTGCTTGAACTACTAGCTGATTTCTAACAGCTTTCCAGAGCAGCATATACACTCTCACAGCTTCAAGATTTTGGCTGATAACTAGTGCCCCTAAACTTCAAATTCCCTCTAATATCAGGGATGGAGCTGGTATTTTAAGAGGCACATAAAACAAGTAAGCATACAAAAAATTAGACCCCATTACTCCAAGGAAACTGAGAGCAACTAACACAGGAGCAGAGAGAGAATTTCTAAATTCACTAACGTCCAACCTATAAAAAACCTTACAAAATGAAATTGTGCAGGCTCTATTTAACAGCAAAAATGTACTCATTTTTTATCTTTTGGGAGTAGCACATACAGTTGGTGTTCAATGCATGTTTAATTATTTGCTTTTGGAAATAAACATATGGAATAAAGGACCCAGGGGGGAAAAATCCAAGATGATTCAGGATATCCTCCACATGGCACTGTCTTCAATTAGAAGATGCAATAATGATGAATTTGCAGAATATTCTTCAAGATGACCGCTGGACTAACATAACTGAGTCCTGGAAAAAATACTACTCTTCCCTAGACCATTCACAAGATGCTTGCTCACAAATGGAAAAACCAGCTACTGGATACCCCACTCAGCGGCACTTTGTATTGCGGCACCTTGATTTGAAAGCTCACCAAGTACACTACAGTGTCTTCTCTTTCCTCAAACCTGACACCACTTCCTCATTCTTACTGCCAGCTAATAACTTTGTTTCTTATTTCTTAAAACAACAACAACAAACTGCAGAAAACCACTTAGGCTTTCTTGCCACCTTCTAAGGACAGAAGGCCGAAGTTATGTAAACATGATAGAGCACAGTCATAACAGATGCCCTGTTAGCTGACTAATGTCTGACCCATAGTTGGCTGAGAGCCACGATTGTCCTGGCTCCTATAAGACTGGCCCAGGACTTTCAGAGATGTGGGTTTTGCAGATTGTTCCTGCGGGTTTAAGGTTTTTCGATTTGCGGTTTGTCGTCCCGGGGTGTGGTTTGTCCCCTGGGATGCACGCTGGCCACCTCTGGGAAGATGGTTTGTTTCTCTGTACATCAGGTTGGACCTCAGCTGAAAAAGTGAATGTGTCATACTCCTTCGGCTCCACTGTTTTCTGCGCAGTGTCCCCGGATCTAGAGTGAACCTCCCTTACACTTGGCGTAGTCCTCTGCACTGCACCTTCCACAAGCTTCTATTTGCAGATGACATTATATATAGAAAACCCTAAAAACTCCACCTTAAAAACTGTTAAAACTAATAAACAAAATCAGTAAAGTTGCAGGATACAAAATCGATATACAAAAATGTTTCATTTCTATACACTAATAATGAAATAGCACAGAAATTAAGAAAACTCCACTTAGAATTGCCTCAAATAGAATAAAATACCTAGAAATGCATTTAACCAATGAGGTAAAAGACCTTACACTGAAAATTATAATACACTGATGACAGAAATTGAAGACACAAATAAATGAAAAGATATTTCATGCTCATAGATTAGAAGAATATTGTTTAAAATGTCCATACTACCCAAAGTCTTCTATAGACTTAATGCAATCCCTATCAAAATTCCAATGGCATTTTCCCAGACATAGCATAAACAACCCTAAAATTTGTAAGGAACCTAAAAAGACCCCTAATAGCCACAACAACCTTGAGAAAAAAGACCAAAGCTAGCACCATCACACTTTGATTTTAAACTACATTGCGAAGCTAAAGTAATCAAAACAGTTTGGTATTGGCATAAAAAAAGAGACAAAAGACCCCCATGACAGCTACCCTTTTCCAGCTTTATTTTTCTCCATAGCACCTAAAATCATCAAACATATACTTTACTTATTCACGGCCTCATCACATGTCACTAAAATGGGAGCACCAAGCAGGTGAAGATTCATCTTGTTTTGTTCAGTGTTGTATCTCCAAACATCATAGAATGCCTGCTCATAGTAAAGAATGAAACTGATATTTAATTTTACGAGGCATTGTCCAGCAAGCTTCAATGTTATCTTTCTTTAACTCATTCAAAATATGCAGGTAAAACCCATTAGCTACGTTCATGCTAAATTTCTTTTCAATATAAAATATGCTAAATAACTTGACCTTAACAAATTTTTAAAAAATAAAACTAAACATATTTGAAATTGCCTCCATCTAACCTATCCTTTCAAATCATTTCTAACCTAGCTTCATCTTGTTACCTTAAGAACCCAAATATTTACCTTCTTCAAATACAGAGATTCCCAATAAGCATATATTTTATGGTTGTTGGGAATCTAAAAGTCAAAGAAACACAATATATACCAAACTCATATTGGACCTCTTATTGGGTTCTACGTGCTACCTTAGTTCTACTTTGGTTTCTTTGGAAGCACCTCAATAAGACAAGTGCAGCAAGTTAGAAAGCATCCTTAATGCTGATACCAAGCTATCCAAACTCCAGAAATAAAACAGTAATTAGAAACCCAAGGCAGAAGTGGTAGAAAGGACAAAGCATGTCTATCCCAGGTGACAGGGACCTGAAGAAAATAAACTTAGTACTGCTCACTCTACTCTAACCTTTGAGCTTGCATCATTAACCAGCAACATATGAATACATATATAATTATTTTGACCACATGACTTTCCTGGTTAGTACATGTATACCTCATTTTATTGCACTTCACTTTATTGTGCTTCACAGATGTTGCACTTTTTTACAAATTGAAAGACCCTCTACCAGAAAAAAAGATTACAACTGCCTTTATTGCAATAATCAGTGGTCTAGAACTGAACCCACAATATTTCCAAGGTATGCTTGTATAGTATTTTAAGAACATTAAGTCTTTGTCCATTTTTAATTGGAAAGTCAATGCAGACATTATAGCTACTGCAATGTTTTGACCAGGTCCCTTATAGTCCATATTTGTTACTATCAAGTTACTAATGCAATCAAATGTAAATATTGCAGAAACACTAACTTCTGATATTACCAGGATCTATAATGAAGCAGGAAAGCAGTTAGCAGGAAAGCAGTTTATGGCTGAAGGGGCATAATTTTACTTGCAGATTTAACCGATAAAATGTTAACATGGCATATCCATGGTTTACACATTAGGTACGCATACCTTGTACAAAACAGCACTGTATAGTTCAGCAGTGCCTAACTCAAAGTAAAAAAACATGACATTTAGTCACAGGTGATCTGTCCTCACATAATGGGAACATCTAGGATGGGAAATCTCTCAATCACATTTCTCTAATTGTTTAGGAGAAGCACTGAACAATCTTTCTTTCAATAGTGTGAAAATACCAGGTTACAGATACATACTTTTTGGTCTTTTTCTATTGAAAGTTCTGCTATAAAGTCTTTGGGATTGTCTGGGAAGTCATCAATGTGACAAAAAGAGATCAAGATCCAAAGACACGTGACTAAACCAAGTGATTCATAACTATCGTTATGCTTTTTTATCGAAAATCAGTAACAAGTTCACACCTGACATTGCTTTTAAGTCCTATGGAGATATAAAATGAAATTATTTGAGGCTAAATGTTGAAATAGGCTGGGGAAACAAGTGATAGTAATAAACTTGCAATTCCTTTCAAATTTCTATAGAATGTAATCACCATTTCCCTATACAATTTCAGTTCTTCACTTTCAATAGGAAGATGAGTATTTTATATAAATTTTTAGAGTACGGGAGAATTTAAGAGAAAAGGAAAAACGTGTAACTTCTATATGAAATAGGGAGTAATAGGACTAGCATGAATTAAGTGAGAGTAGAAGGCTGCTGAATCAAAGAACATAGATCAGTTTACACACCTATTAACTTAATCAGTACCACTGTAACAGATTGTCTCCCCTTCCCCACAAATCATTTATTTTATATCAGAACTATACTACTGGTCATATGTGGTTATGAAAATGACCAAACTGAAAAAGCACATAAATTAATAACCTCCAAATATCTCTATCACAAAATTGTCATTGCAGAGGCAGTTTTCAAGAAAAAAGACTCATCACAATTTCCTGACTTCTTAATTCAGCTCAGTTGTTCCCAATGCACGTATTCTCTTTGCATCCTTACTGATAGGTAAAGGAAAAAATACTTAATTTGCTCAGTGCACTAGTGTGCTTTCATTCACAGTGTGTGTACATGATTTCACTTTGATTCTCACCAACCTATCAGAGACATGTTTAGAAAGTGCCTAACACTAAACATTGAACAGCACGGAAGGTAAAAATATCCCTTTCTCCATGGCATGACACTTTAATCGTAGTAACTCAAATAAGGGGAACTTATAATATAATTATGTAACTTTCACTGGGGGGCTCAGTAGAATGTGCAAAGAATACACAAAGTTAGCAGCAATGCCTCAAACAATGCTATCACCAGTCCGAGCAGACAAAACGGGTCGCCTAGGCACCCAGCACACTGATTGCCTTCGTCTCATGTAACACTCCTCTAACGAACACGGAGTAAAATGATCAGGACCAAAGCTCAGGCTGGAATAGTCTACTCAACCCAGGGAAAGAATCACTTATGTCACACATCTCATCAAGATCCTGAACTGCGAAGAGTAAAAGCTCTACAGTCTCTCCACCCCAAAACAACCCAAGAACTTCAATCCTGCCAGTGGTGACCTGCAAACTACAAGTAAACCAACACTATATCCAGGCACGATGGTTTGCAGCTTATTCCATAGCCAGCGCCACCAGACCAAGTCCCCGTGAAAGCAAGCCCTACACCTCTAGCAAAATCCCTGCATGAACACAAACCATCACCGACAGGCCTTCGAGTCCGACGAGATCCTGACATCCTCCTAAACAGCGCAGACCAAGGACGCAGCTAAGCCAAGACAAACAGGCTCCCCGATCATCCAACACTCTTCCCCCCTCCACAAGCTCACTACGCACAGCTGGCCTGCGGTCACCACGGGCTGGGGTATCCTCCCAGCCCCGGGCTGGGCCACGGCTGTAGGCCATTTTTCCAGAGCTCACCGCAAAGGAGGGCTGCGAAACATCAGTATTCAGTCCCCACACCTGGAGCCCCAGCCTGGAGACAGTAGCAGGCGCTCTGCCGCCTAATTCCCAATCGAGGCGAAAAGCCCTGCACCTGGACTGCGGCAGGACAGGACGGCCCCGCCCCCGAGGTTAGCACCCAGCCTCTCCCCTCCGCTCAGTCCCACGCGACCGATCGCGGGTCGCGGATCGCAGATCGCCGCACCGGGGAGGGCGCCGGCGCCCCCTGCCAGGCGGGCAAAGGATACAGTCCCGGCTCCAGAACGCCCCGGCGCCGGGGCGGGAGGGGCCCGCCACGTCCGCCATCTTGAAACAACCGCCACTCGGGGCGTCCCGCCCGGGCCGCCACGCCCCGGACTCCTGGCGCCGTCCCCATTGGCCGTTGGGCGCAGAGGCCCGCCCCCGCTTGCGCTGTGGGCCCCGGCGGGGCGGGAGGGTCCAGGCGGAGGAGTCGCTGT